CTCTGTAGAGAATTCCGAGCTCACCACAATTCTCATAGATTTATCGTCAAACTATTCGGCATATCATAGCATGTCCACACAGAACATGTTTAGACATCTTACAAGACCAGCACAGCTTACTCTACGCCACTCCTTAAGGACTAATATTCCTGCATTGTCAAGATGCGTCTCAAGGAGATTACCATTAAACTCGCATAACGCCACAACTTGTCTCAGGTTGTATTCGATCAGCACACAAGGGGAATCACTCAGTGGCAAAATTGACGAAATTTCAGACGGAGAGTACAACAAATTGTCCAACCAGTACCTTGAGACTTTATCAGAAGAGTTGGAAGAATTGAACGAAGAGTATGATCAAGTCGATGCTGAGCTTAGTCATGGAGTGTTAACCTTGATATTGCCCCCAAATGGTACATACGTGATCAATAAACAGCCTCCAAATAAACAGATTTGGCTCAGCTCACCAATAAGCGGTCCCAAACGGTACGATTTGATCAATGGACAATGGAGAACTTTGAGAGATGGCAGTTTGCTTACAGAGTTGTTGGAACAGGAGATTTCGGAAGCTCTTAAAACAGACTTTAAGTTTGAGTCTGTAAGCTCGTGAGAGGGGAAATACTAGCTGTATGTAAAGGACTCACATCAGGACAAGCAGTAGGCATGTCGGTACTCTAGAACTGTGTATACAAATCAACTATTTATTAGCTTATTCATCTCTAACTTAGTTGAAGTTTCAATTTTTGAGAGACTATACTCTAGAAAAGGTTGATTAGGTACCTTGAACCGTAAGCTGATCATTTCTTTAGTGCCGAGTAATTTGTAATGGCTGTTCATTGTCGCATCTTCAATGTCAATTCCCTCATTCCAATTTTTTGCTTCCACTTTCGCGTCATTACTAACAAAAGTAGATTTCACCCATCTCTTTTTCCACAACTAATCCTAGATCCGAAAAGCTCAAGACACACACGCTTGTCCTTCACTATCTAGAGAAGAATATCGAGATGGCTAGACTAAAGTCTGTTCGTGGTCCCAAACGTTTGAGCAAAAATGTCGAGATCGCACAGGAATATCATAGACAGAACGTGAACAAATTGTTGATAACTATAAGGTTGCCCTCGGACAAACTAAGAGGTGTTGGTCAAAACTCGATACAAGTTCTGTCTTATAGTACGCATAACCCGCATCAATCAGTGGAAATGGACCCAAGTGCTCACTACTTTCAACAGCTTCTGAGGTCACTGATTTTGCCAGAGCCATACGACTTTGATGCAGGGGAGTTTGCAGAGTTGGAAACTGAGTTGAATCAAGCTTTGAACCAGCCTCAACAAGAGCGACGGAGAAGCAGCCATAGCAGAGGGGTAGATATAGTTGAGGCACTAAAAGCTAGTCCAAAGAGGAAAAATCTGGATAGCAAAGGAGATGAAACTTCCGAGATGCAACCAACTAAACCAATCCTGCAACCACTTCCGCGACCAGCAACACCAACAAAACGAAGAAAGACAACTAAGCGCCCTACAATTCTGCCGAGACAACAACCCACCTTCAAGCCTGTACCCGCCAATATTGTACCGATTCTAGAATCAGAGTTGCCACATATACGGGCTGGAGAAGATGACGACGATGATGGGGTCAATATTGAATCTATAATTGTTTCTTTACGAGATCTGTTGGGAGGAACCAAGATTAAGCTACCTGTACGATCAAGGTTCTGCTCGCATTTTGATTGCTTCGATTATGAAAACTTCTGCCTATTCTACCGAATCCCAGCATCGGTGAAAGATATAACGCGGAAGTCTCTAATACAGCACAAATATAATGAGATGGCAAGAAGGAGTAGCAGTACCCAAACATCGTCGCAACAATCTCAGAATCAAAGCATGCCGCAGACCACGTACCAGCAGCTAATGCCATACCAGACAAATTTCGGATCAGGTACCGATCATACTTCCCCGATGGTCATTCAGCAACTCAGGCTTGCACCATATGTTAAGGTTGTTGATAACCCGATGCCAGGTCACAACTACACACTGAAGTTTGTCACACCAGGGTACGAAACTTGTCCCTTCTACTCATGTCCCATATGCAGCACAAAGTTTCCTTTAAACGCGTTACAGATTAGCGACGCATTCAACTATTTTGTGAAAACTACAGCTCCACTGGTGGAAAGTGTAGAGCTAGTGGGGCTGGAGAAATATCGGGCGATCGGAGAATCGGAATCGCAGTTAAATACTAAAAATGCGGTTACAGGAGGGACGCAAGTTTTGCAGATTAGTTCTGATGACGAGGAGGGTGATGAGAAAGAGCGAACAGAGTCCGCAACGAGACAGAAAATGAAGCTTGATAACTTTGTCAATGGGTCGCTTGATCCAAACGTATTTGCATCAGCAAGCAACCTATTCCATCAGAACAACAACTCCGATTATCAGGGGTATACTCGTGACGATCCAATTGTTTTGGATTAGTGTTATGCATCAGTTCATATTGACACTTGCGGATAATGTATATCAAATGCGCTAGAGTGGTGTTTCACAGCAGTATAATCGAAAGGGAGGATCGATAGCCTTGTGGGTGTGCAGCGTATACCAAGGACCCTACAATGCGGTTGAGCACAGGACATTATATATATAGACATGAATGGGACAATGTGTAACTCGGTTTTTGCCTGACACACCATCAAATAGAGGGATAGTATGGGGTGCCAACTGCGTAAAGTACATAGAAGACCAATGAATGACATAGTACTACCGAAAACAGGGCTCAAGTAGTTGTACAGCTAATTCTCTGTCCTTCTCGTTCAACACTCTTGGTCGCCGCCGCCGCCGCAGTTGATCCGAAAGAGAAAAAAATGTCAACCCAATACAATTACCTACCATTCAGATGACATCAACAATCACACAATATGTCAAGCTTGGAGGAAGTTAACAAGAAGATCCTGGATCTTGAGATTATTATTGAGAAGCAATCAAAAATAATCGCCACTACAGGTCAAAAATTGTTGGAGATCCAAGTAAAGGAAGTCAAGTCCAGGATGGCGGATTTGGATTCAGGGGCAAGCAAAGCACAATCGTTTGACACTGCTGACTATATTGGAAATGATGACGTTGTTCAGTTGGTTACGGAATTGCAATCCCAATTGGATAACTTGGAGGATAGAGCTTCTCGTCGTACTTACAATTCCACTTTGATCAAAGATGAGCAGAAGTTGGCTCCAATGAGCAATAAAGATGGCGATGAACCGCAGTTTAGCCTTCCCTCAACATTGAAGGACTTTAAGCAAATGCCAAAAGCCAAAGTGCTTGAGTTGGGAGTGTTTTACGAGATACTTTTACCAAACGAAGAAGAAATAAATGAGGTCTTGGAGAAGGACACCGGTAATAGTAAGAATGAAATAATTGATCTTGCCAAGAACAAAGACGTTTCCAAATTGGAAGAGCAGTTTACTGATGAACAAGTGGATGAGGTATACGACGAAATTGCTAGATATTTTGGAATTACACATAGAAGAGCTAGTGATGGCTGGTAAAACGGTTAAGGGTTCGATTGGTTTTTTTTTCTTTTGTTTATTTTTTTTTTTACAGAAGTACGTTTAGGTAATAGGATAAAGTGAACAATCAACACACTATGCCCAAAGTTGAGGCATTAACTCGTCTCTGTTATGTCCTCTAGTACTATACTACTCAAACCCTAGCACACTCTTACTCGTAGTTTATATACAGGACTTCTTGCACCATTTGACGTGGTGGAAAAAAAAAAAAAAGTTGTGTCCTTTCTGCAAATCAAACATACTCATTCAACACATTCAATCACGATTATCTCCATCAAATGTCAGAAGAGACTCCTAACCCAACTCCAGAACCAGAGTTGGTAAAGATTTCCATCTTCACGCCGTTGATATACGTGGGAGTAGTATTGTCCGTATTCGTTGTGTTTTCGATTTTCTACAGAAGACGCAGACTTGCAAAATTCCAACAAATTGAACCCATTTTCAAAGAGAACCACAATGCTATCATATATCAACAGTTAAAGTCTCAGTATGTGGACCCGGATTTGCCAAAGGATCAGAAACCGCACAAGAAAGTGATGAAGGCGGCTTTACTACGTAGAGGCGTTGAGGCTATCAGAAGAAGCATGAAGTTGAAGGAAAACGAGCCTGTTTTTAATAAATTGTATCAAAATGGACTGATAGGTGATGACATGTTCAAACAATTGGAGTTTGAGATTAAGTTTCAGGAATTGGAATTGAGGGAGATTGTTACGGAAACGGAACAGTATAAGAAGGGTTGGTCGCAAACATTCTTTCCCTTGGCTCAGGAAATATGTTTTAATGAAGCGTTGAGAAGAAGATTGAATGCCGTTGATGATAGATCAGGAAAATTGTCCGAGCTCTGGGGTTTATAGGTGATTGATTAGAGTAGGTAGTTGCTAGATTTGTAACATGCTTAAATAATAAACCGCACATGCCGGATTTGATCATTGCAATTGAATCTGAGCTGATTATATGTAACTATGCATGATGTACTTGTTGGGGGGCGATAGGTATGTCACGATTTACCCTCAGTTGGTGAAGTGTCTGTTGAATTCCATCACGTTCGGAGCGCGGAACGCAAGTAAAAAAACGATCTTTCACATTGCTCGCAAGTTTTCTAATAAACCAATTCATCTCAATCTTGCCAGTGATAGAGCCATGTTCAGGTCCAGCATCGCAACCCAAATACGCACTGGGGCGCTCAGGCAATTCACAAAGCTTTCAACGGGGCCGTTCCCTGACCATACATTTGCACGTACCCGTGCCATCCAAATCAGACCTTATGCTTCCTATCGCCGTTTCAATAATTCAAATGCGTCCACCAACATCTACGAGTACTACTTGCAGCTTCTCACGAGCAGGAAGGCATTATACATAGGAGGAGGTCTTTTGGGCTTTTACCTTATCAATCTTCATGAGGCACCTTTTACCCATAGACTTCGATTCATTTGGATTCCGTTTTGGATTGAAACCAGGATTGGCGACTATAGTTATAGACAAATTATGTCGCAATATGGCTCGATGATTTTGCCTCACCTGAATCCCCTTTACGGACGGATTTCCAACATTATGAATAAACTACTCGCCACAGCGATAGCCAACAACGAGGACCAGACTCAAAAGAGACATTTGAAGGAATTGCATTGGGAGATCAACATCATCCAAAATGATTCGCTTCCGCCAAACGCATTCATTTTGCCCAACGGAAAGATTTTCATATTCAGTTCCATCTTGCCAATCTGTGAGAATGATGACGGATTAGCAACGGTGTTATCCCATGAATTATCACATCAATTAGCTCAACACTCGAGTGAGCAATTGAGCTCACAACCTTTTTATATGGTGTTATCGGGAGTGCTTTACTCATTAACCGGAGTATCATGGTTCAATGATTTGTTAATCAATGGCTTATTCACTATGCCCGCGAGCAGGGAGATGGAGACGGAAGCGGACCATATTGGATGCGAAATATTGGCAAAAAGCTGCTTTAATCCTGACCAATCAATACAATTCTGGGAAAGAATGGGAAGAGAAGAACAAAGGTTGTCCAAGCAAATGGGCGGAGGAGGAGCAGCGAATTCGGTTTTGGGACAGTGGTTTTCTACTCATCCAGCCACCACGAAGAGAATCCACGACATTGAAAATTGGTTGCCCAAGTTGAGAGAAATGCGAGAGAGCAGTGGCTGTTATGAGTATGGAAGGTTCCATGACTTTAGTGCCAACTATTTCAAGAGACAGTAGATGCAATTTATTAGATCATGACGGTGTATATACATTAGACGTTCTTGAACTTTTTGTACAATTCACTTTCCATATTCTCCATGGAAGAAACTCCTCGTATCCACGTTGATTTGGATTTCCACCCTATTGGTGAGATTTCCAAAGATATAGCCCAACTATCCTCGTCTAATTTCAACATGTATACTGAGACTACCCCCAATCTCTTTCGCGTTTGTACGTTTCTTTCGCTATAGTAGGGTAACAGAGCTTTGATAAATCGCTGTAGCGTACAATCATCTCTGTTGGTTTCATATATCTTTGCTTGACTTGTGACCCAGCTCTCAAACTCATTTTCAAAAAAATGGACATTGAACTGAGAGTCCTTCATGAAACTCGATAAAATCTCATTGTCCTCAACTGAATTCGGATTACTGGTGATGTGCTCAACAATCCGTTTCCCTACCAAATCCACAATCTGTCTCCTCAAGGAATCATATTCATTTTCAATATCCTCTTGGATGTTGTACAACTGAGATTCGTCGTATGGCAAAATCTTCACCACTTGAGCAGGGGGATACTTTGAACCTTGTTCTTCAGTGGTGCGATCAACAATTTGATTTGCATTCTTCTCGTACAAATTGTGCTTAATCTTTCTGTTTAAGTAGTATCCAGCTATCAGAATCGGCGGGCCCAAAGTAATCCAGATTTGTGGATGTAGATTAATGAATGTCAATACCCCTGCTCCCAACCCACTAAGATATTTCAATTGGTATGGGATCAAGTTGTTCCATATTAGAAGTGGATAAGTTTTATTAGCCACGTATGAATTTCTCGGTATCTCTGTATATGATTGGAATAGTGTGCGTTTTGAAATTCTGAAACATGTTGGTCGTATCATGTGCAAGTATGATATTTGTGATGGTAAGCCAGATAGGTTACCCTAACGAGTGGATTTTTTTTTTTTTTTTTTTTTTTTTCTTCTTTCTCTTACTTCAGCTTTTGGTGTTTGTGTAAAGCAGATACGACTGGTCAATGAGGTAGAGAATACTTTTAGCTAAAGAAGGCTTCGTCAGACAGCAAATATGCTTTGAACAGTATTACTGATATATCTTTTTGTAGGGTAGCTCCACTTTTTTACATAACATACATCTACACAATCTTAGTGAACTACAATTGGAGTTTTCATCCGCCAGCAGATAGAACAGACACTGACACATACCTTCACATACATCAATAGAAACCAAAAGACCAGCCAAGAATGGTTTATATATATTGAGCTAGAATTTTACTAACATGCAAGCCAAGAACACCTTTTATCAGCTCAATGGGAGACCAAAATTACATCCCACCTATCATTGCCTACTGAAAGCCGCCAATGGAAGAGACTATTGTGTTGTCGAGTGTCGGATGGGTGGGGGAAGGGGTGTTGGGGGTTGGTGCTGCAATGAACATTACACTTGCAGGAAAAGCATCGGCCGTGAATGCTTTGCACAACAGAGATAAAATTGACCAGTATTATATTCGAAAGGAGATGGTTGAATTAAAGCGCATATGGCGAAGGGCTCAGTTTTTGGATTGCCAAAGCCACAAATATGAATGTTTGCAACATAGGAGAATCAAAAACTTGTGGTCGAAAACGTTGTCCCAAGGAAGGCTAAAGGTATTGCGTCGGAAATTAGATAATGCATATTTCCCGAGAGTCGCTCTTGAATCTCACAAGAGGTCACAGCTAACACACTCACACGAGTAAATAGTTCTCTCCACAGCATTCTCAATGATACCAAAATTTGACAGTATCGTTGGCAAAGACTCTGTAAGACTATGTCCCAGAGCTTAACAAATTGATTCTTTCAATTACTAAAACCCTGCCTGAATATTTTCCCAACAAAACATATGATGGCCATTATGTGGTTAATTTGAAATCTATAAATGTACATACTGCATCGGCTATCAACATAACTAGAGCAAAAGCTATGTCAAGAGTTGCCAATGCGGTATTGAAAGATCAGCCGCTTGTGAATGAACTATGCAAGTTGATTGAATAGACTGGAAGCATTGCCAAGGGAGCAAAAAGTTACCAATAGAAGCACTAAATAAGGAGCCAAAAATAATACGAGAAGTCATAGGGAATAGTCTCTACTTGCTGGTCTCCACCATTTGCTAATGCGTGTGTGGAATGGAACAGTATTCTGGTTGCAAAACAGACCTTTTTTTTTTTCTCCCTTTTGTACGCACCATGATATCTGAATTTTAGGTTGAGCTTCACATTTGAGGGCTTTCAAGAAAGAGTAAAGAGTGGAGGTTACTCACGTAGAGTCAAGAGGAACCGACTCAAAATGCTTAGGAAAAGCAGGCGTATACCATTGTCAGTTTTTTGTTATATACCTCTGTTTGTACACTTTATTTTTTTCTTTCGATAAAGTGTGATCTAGACCTTTTGGAGATAAAGTTACAACACAAAAACCATGAAGAGAAGCGTGAATACAAAAATACGAAAGGGTTCAAAATTTACAGTAAGAAACAACATGTGCTTTAAACTATATGGCGTACACAAACAGCGTGGGAAAATCCCTTGTGGTTTTCGGCGAATATTTAATGACAAGTTTGAAAATTTCATTCAACTAGTTGTGACTTCTGCTTATTTTTGTCTTTTTTTTTTTTTTTTTCATTTATTTCCTTTCAACTACAAGGGAAGCTCCAATAGATTAATATCCATACATATCCAGCAAAGCTGCACCTACGGAAACAAGTGTAGTAGATGGTTTGTCGTTGTACTATATGCGGGAAATGGTTACACTCCAGACGAATGGCAATCGAACACGTTTCCACTCAACACGGCATTGAAAAAGACGCAGTGGAAAAATTCTTTTATGGCATTAGCGTCAAGTGAAGAGAGGCAGATGATTAGTAGTAGCAGGAGAGGAGTAGTCAAGGATGATTCAGCATCTACCGACACTCAACATCATTCCAAGTTTTCAACTTCTCTTGCTCGTGGGATCGTGAGAGAGTTGAAATCCATCACAAGACAAAACACAAGAAAGAGGTTAAAATTTCGAAAGGGCAGCGGTGGACATTATTTCTCAGGTATTGTCTATGATGTCATTTCTGCACACATAATGATACAAAATCCAACATTTAGAGAGACCAAAAACTCAAAAACATAAAACATAACAAGAAAAAGAAAAAGAGGTTACAAAAGGAAAACACAAACATGAGCAACAAAAGAGCAAAGTATTGCCACGTGTAAAATGAGTTCACGACACTGACTTGGACAGGCATTGACTATCTTAGACACACCAAATAGCTGCATATTTTGCATTAATCAGTATAATTTAAAGATTGTACTGAATAGAATAACTACTGCATGTGCAAGAAGGGTGTTACATTATTGAGAAAGTAGAACGTATGGCTATATCTTGTAATCTATTATCTAGTGATGCACGTGATACAGGTAGCGCTATTCCAGTGAACAAATGTGGACATAGTAGAAATACTTTGGAGTAAGCAAACTTTACAAAAGAATTGCTTTTCACAGATACATGGGAACACACATTTCAGCACGGCTGATAGATGGTCCTTCTTTGAATAAATGGTTTCTCAAAATGCCAAGCTCTCCCAAATCAAGATTTAGAGCACTATTGTTGGCAAGTGTGGTAGCATTGATTATTATTTACTACTTCAAATCGCCAAATTCATTAATCACCAGCCAAAGGCCAGTAGGCAACTTGATACTTGATTATGGCTCTCACAGATCCATAGAGGAGCAAATACAGGAGCAGGAAGAGCAACAACTGGCCAATTCCGAGCCTACTGATTCAGAAAACGTTCCGCTGACACAGTCAGAAGATCAAGGCAATCCAAGAAAGTTTCTTGGAGATATCAATGTTGTTCCACCTCTGGAGGCACCGCCTGTATCACCCGGTACAAAGGAGTTACTTGGGGTCCCGCCTCCAAACTATTTCTTCAAAACTGTCACAAACCCTGAACCGCGTATGCCAAAGGAATGGATACAGTCCTTGACAAATCGCCGCATTGAGAATCTAAAGTTTAGAATTTACTCACACAACGTCAAGAATGGCGGGTCCCATGAATTGGTTTCAGGGGAGCTATCTTGGGAGGAGAGAGTGAAAGAGATTGCCTTATCTATGAAGTTTCATTCTACTGAGACAACAATCTTCACTTTACAAGAAGTTTACAAATATCAACTATTGGACATTCTTGCTCAACTAAATAAATTCAATGACGAGTGGGCGTTTTACGGCGTTGGACGCATCAATGGGAAAGATTTGGGTGAGTTTGTTCCGATCTTATACAATAAGAATCATTGGGATTTATTATATAATGATACCATTTGGTTGAATGATAAGGATCCTCGCTCCTCTTTACAAGGATGGGATGCAACATACGCGAGAATCGCGTCTGTAGCGAGTCTTCGTCATAAACTACTGAACAATATCATCAACGTATTCAACACTCACTTTGATCATGTCGGTACTGCAGCCAGAGAGGGGTCATCGGAATTAATATTGGCCAAAGCCAACCTGATTTTGAAACAGAGCGAGAACAAATGGCCCAGCTTTTTTGCAGGCGATTTCAATGCTTATCCGGATGACGAATGTATTACAAAGATAAAATCTGAAATGACTAATAGTGTTGCGTTGGCAACAGTGGGGAACAGATACGGACACACCAAATCAACTGTCACTGGATTTGAAGGTGAGGTTTTACGTGATGGCGAACAGGATATTGATTATATCTTTGCTCCAAAGTACACGAAAAGAGTGGACGAAGTGGGTGGTGCAAAAACGTCAAGCTCTGTCTGCGATAAGAGCCTAAAATCAAACGTTTTTGCAGAGAAGGCAGATTTAGTATTGATTCAATTTGGAATGTTGCATTCTAAATTCAATGGACGCTACATGAGTGATCATCGACCGATAGTTGCTGATTTTGCAATAAATCCCAAATGCTCATGAAGAGCTTATTTGGGAGCTAATCGTCTCTTGAGTGGATCATAGCCTATATTTAGTATTTATAGAAGAGTTTGCTACCTCTTTCGTTATTCCCTGTGGGTGGGTGGGTTGTAAAATCAACTTCAGATTTTTTGCATGCACAATCAAGTTATCCAGATATGGCAACTGCGATCAGCCCAATCAACGTGGCATCTCTTTCCCTCAATCTGTACACGCTATCCACTAAGCATTGCCACCAAGCAACACATTAATTGTCCGTATTTCCAGCAAATTCAACACTTGGTGGCTCCTATTGTTGAAAGAGCTGTGGTGATAGCAAATATCGGGCTACTGCATTTATTTTCCCAGTCACGTTCTCCACATAAAAAACAACAAAAAAAAAAAGAAAATCATAATATTAGTAGCCCACGATTTCATGGAAAGGTAGTATAGACCAACTCCTCCATATTCCAAGTACTTGATGACTAAACGACACCAGAGCTAGAAAAATAATAGACTAAAGCTACACCTTTACAATCAATATCATCATAAGATATGACTTTTGCATCTACATCGCCGTCGAAACTCTCAGGGTCCTACTTGTCATCCAAAAAGCTACCTCCGCCTCCTCCGCCTCCTCAGCCTCCTCAGCCTCCTGATCCACCACTACATACCCACCATCATAAAGAAACAGTAAATCTTGTTTATGCACATTCCTCGATAGGGTCAGTTCCCATGTCAGACTCCACCAACAACTCACGAAATGGAGATCGGCGTAGCCCTGTTGAAGCTGGGTTTGCCAGTTACAATACCGATTTCAGCTCTAGCAGTGACAGCGGTACTGATTATAGTACCAAGAACGGTACCCCCAGCATACATTATGACAAGATCCGGACTTCCAGTTTACAAACAACGCCGTCTTCACGACTGCAACCAAACTCAACGGCCATGCGGCCGTCAGGATCGACTAATTCAATGCTTAGTCAAGAAGATGTTGAATACTACTACACAAAACTCATAAATTACGAATTCCGGAATCTTCAATTGGACACCGAGCTACAAAAGATGTCATTGTTTGATCTTATTGATTACTGTGAGTCCTTATACGAACTTGCAAATGAATCGACAGATCACCTACAAGCTATCAAAAGTTATACAAAGGGATTCTTGATATTCAACTACTTCATAAACAGTTTTGTCATGTTTCATTTTGATGGATTTGATGCATTCATAGAACTGAATGAACAAGATTTCATTATATACTTGAACATTTTTGCATTTTACAATACTGAACAAGCCTTCCAAAATGGCAACTACACGGTGTCTTCAAGCGAGTTAAGACTATTTATTAAACTGTACTTGGTAAAGAAAAACTTGTTGAGTTTTGATCTCGATGAGTTGTACGAGTGGTTGTTTCAGTACATTGACTATCTTCGAGACAAGGATCAACTGGCAGACGAGATTGGTTTCAGAAAGGGAACGGAAGAAGACGCACAAAAAGTGACTCTAGATGGATCAGATGGAAACAGTGACGTTGGAGGTCAAGAAGAATACACAGATTCGGCTTCTGATGCCGATGAAGTGTCGAATGGTGCATACGACGACGAGTTATCATTTGTCAGAGTTGATCATCCTCCAACTCCAGGAATGGGACGTCAATCTCGAGAGTCATCGCTTGGCTCTATTTCTGGATTCAAAGTGCGCTATCCATCTGTTAACTTACCGAAGCGAAATGGTGGACACGATCCTCATTCAGGAGCTAAATCAGTGAATGAGAAAGCATTGAAAAAGCCACCCCCTCCCATTCCAACTTCCCTTCCTCCAGCATTGTTGAGCCAACAATTGGATTCCATCTCAGTACACACGAGAAATGATCACCTTGAAATTAATGGTGTCTCGGGGGGGAAGGATAAGGGAATGGAACCAGGTCGAATCCACCGTAAAGAGGGTCATCAAGATCCATATCCAAATGATGACATTATATCAAAGTTGACTGAGGAAGAGACTACTTTTGGGCAGGATGCTCAAGCGAGTACGAGTCAGGATATTGTGCAAGGCTATACACGCAAATCTCAAAGACCGCCAATTCCTGCAGCTCATGCAGTTGGCGTAAACAATTTTGATTCGTCTGCAGTAAATCAAAAGTACAATCACTCACATCGTGTGATGCCTAATGGTCGTCAATATCTGTATGCATCAACTGGTCAACCAATCTATCAAACATCCACGCCAATGCCGACCTTTCCGCCTCCTCAGCCACACATACAGCCACCGCATCCATCAATTTTGTATCTACCTTATGGCTACAGCAATGGCGCCATGACTCAATACCAGCAACTCCCAGGTAGCCTGTACGATCCTGCACATCAGCAATACCAGCAACCTAATTACCCTCAATATTTTTCACACCCTTCTCCCCAAAGCCACCCCATGATACCGGCTCACGTTTTGAAACAACAAGAACAAATCAAATCTGGAAAGATGTCCATACGCAAGGACTATGCAATTTGCGGGTTAAGAAATTTTGGCTCGTCATGTTACATAAATTCAACTATACAAATGCTATTTGGGATATATTCTTTCAAGGTCATTTTCAATCGCGGGTACCAAAAATATGTCAAGGATCCCGGGTTTTTGAAGATAATGCAGCACCCAGATTCACACAAGAAAGATTCAGTTTTATTGAGCGAAGCAGTTTCAGGATTGCTTCGCACCTTCCAACAAAATGGCGGTCTTTCTGTTTCTCCCACCAAGTTTATTCGAGTCACCTCATTGCTAAAGCCAGATTTTAATATCCCCCATGAGCAACAAGATTCTCAGGAATTTCTTTTGTTCGTATTGGAGAGACTACATGCTGAGTTATGTGATAAGAGCTTAGAGTACTTTGATCCTGAAGTTTTGTGTGCAAAATGGAACATCAACGTTTCTGTTGAAAATCGGTCGTCATACTTCAAGTGGTGGAGATCGTTGCATGAGCACGAGGGATCCAGTCCCATCCTGGACTTGTTTCAAGGCCATTTGCAAAATAAACTTCGTTGTAACAAATGCAGCTACGAATCAATCACTTACTCGCCCTTCTCAATATTATCATTGCCGATACCGAACACCAAGCGACCTAATGAAGTTGTCGATTTGACGTCGTGCCTTAGTTACTACATTCAAGATGAAACTTTGTCAGGCGAAAATGCGTGGAGGTGTCCTAAATGCCATGGTGAAGTGCCCACCGTTGACAACCACCCAGTTTTCGTCCAAAAGAAGGGCCTTTTCAAATTGGGTAAATCAAAGAAAACACCTGCTGCGTCTAAGGGGAATAAAGTATCGTCATCGGATACGATTTCCACCAAATCGCTTAGTTTTGTGAAATTACCACCCATTTTGTTTATTCATTTATCCAGATTTTCTATGCACAACTTAACCGACAAGCTTAGCACACCAATTCGGTACCCAATTGAACTCCGATTCAACAACCAAGGCCACGAGATTTTGTACAAGATATCGGGAGTTATCAACCACTTTGGTAATTTGAAAAGTGGGCATTATACTGCACTAATCAATAAATCCACAACAAATGAGCTGAAACATGACTTAGAAAATTTGAAGAACCCATGCTGGTGTAACTTTGATGATGAAAATGTTCGTTCAAGTGTCAATAATGGTACTTTGAGGTTGGGTGTTGATGGCCAGAGCCATAGCGTGCTAGAAATGATCTCAACGGATGTTTATGTGTTGTGTTATGAACGAGTCGACGCTTAGGGGCTTCAAACGGTAGATTTGGAGATGGATGGCTGTGCAGGGTGTGTATACGGAGAAGACGATTTACTTCTTAGATAATATAATATGTAGATAGTCTACTTGTATACCTATCTAAGTTGATAAAAGCGAGATTGTGCGTACACACTTCTCTGTGTAATCACAATCAAAATAACTGCACCCAATCTCCACACAAGCTTTCCCACATGGCAAGAGCAGAGTTAGGCACGTCAAAGTACGAAGCCAAGAGGTTAAAAGCAAGCGGACTTCAGAAACTAAAATTCTATTGCCAAATATGTTCCAAACAGTGTCGTGATGCCAACGGATTCAAAAATCATCTTCAATCAAAATCGCACCTAGGTCGCATATCCAACTTGCAATCTAGTGGGGAGTCACAGAGTATAGTATCCACTTATTCCCATCAGTTTCAAACTGATTTTTTGAATCTACTACGTGTGAGCCATGGCACCAAATCCATAAATGCCAATCGATTTTATCAAGAGTATATTCGACAACGGGATCATGTGCATATGAATGTGACTCGCTGGAAGAGTCTAACTTCATTTGTGAAGCACTTGGGCCAACATGGGTTGGTTAAGGTGACAAGGATCAACGATAGTGAGGAAGATAGTGAGGGGTTCAACTTGGAGATCCGATTGATTGACTCTCGAGAGGTTGAGAAATTCAAAAGCAAAGCGGATGAGGAGCGTGAAAGAGTAGATGCTGAGATAAACGACAAGTTGATTCAGAAACAGATAAAACGTGGGCAAGAGATGTTGCAGATGAAGGCACTGCAAAAGGAAGCATCATGTAATGAGAGCAACGACAAAGGTGAGAGAGAGGCTGCTGCTCCACATGAGCAGACACAGACTACATCTGGCCCAATAAGGCTAAGTGTTAAGAAGAAAGCTGTTGGCAAAATAAAGTCCGCATTTGATGACGAGAGCGACTAAGCTGTGACGACGACCAACAAGATTATTCAAGTCCAAGAAAACTCAACTACATTGTGAGTGTTGTACAGTCCCCGTCCGTCAGACAAGACATACACTTGGCAAGTGTCCTTTTTTTGGAGAAGGATATTCCAAGGTGAGTTTTGCATCTTTGGTTTCTGCTCTTGCTTATTGCATCCATTTGTATGAGTCCCCGTTAGGTTTCGTGGTTATAGGCTTTTTCGGGACACTTTCACAACCACTTGTTGAGATGTGCTCAAAACTTGTGCAATTTGTATTGACACGCCGCTGGCGAAAAGCTGTGGCAGTATTTGTTGGCAAACTCTAATTTTAAGGATAGAGAGAGAGCAGATCGCAATGAATAGCATAGATTGTTTTAATTGAACCCATTGAAGTTTCATGAATTCGCTTCGTGACCGACTTTTCATTGTAGGATGTTGGACAAGTCACCATAAAGTACATAATATCATCAC